ACATGTCCAAACCACTGTCCCCCCTCTGGACATGTCCAAACCACTGTCCCTCCTCTGGACATGTCCAAACCACTGTCCCTCCTCTGGACATGTCCAAACCACCGTCCCTCCTCTGGACATGTCCAAACCACTGTCCCTCCGCAGGACATGTCCAAACCACTGTCCCTCCGCAGGACATGTCCAAACCACTGTCCCTCCTCAGGACATGTCCAGACCACTCTTATAGGTCACTCTATGCTCCTCCCTCTTTTGGAAACAGGTGTTGACTACAGCCATTTCCATTCTCTTGGTAAAATCCACCACCATCTGTCCTTCCTGGTTCTTTCCTTGACACCAAACCTACCCATCACTTCCTCACCCTCTGTTTCCTTCACCAACATGTCCATTCAGGTCTGCTCCCATCACCACTCTCTCCTCCCTGGGAATACTCTCCATCACTTCATCCAGATCTTTACAAAATGTATCTTTCAATCAATCCGGTATGGTTTCAATTTGATGAACTCACATTATGGTTTTGGCAAACTTGTTTTACATCAGATGCTCTTCCTGACACTTCCCTCTCCATTTACCCGGGCTTGGGACCAGAACCCGGTCCACTGACTCGTGCTCCCTGGTGGCTGGTTTAGTCACTTTAAGCAAAAATCTTGCAACTCGCTGAAAACAAAAAGTACTGTTAATTTTCTGAGACATTTAGAAAAGGTTTTGAAGACGCCCTTAAGAACAAATTGTAGTGAGAAAAGCTGCACACCTTGAAAATAAACCATCCAAGTTATACAATTATTAAAACTGGTAGTAAAAGCAAAACACCTTAATTTTCTTGTTGAACAACCTTTTAATATGTGCCCCCCCCCCCCCCCCCCCCCAGAATAACAACCATATAAATAAATAAAATCATATTAAAGTCTGTTTAATGTTATTTGACAGGTATCCTTCAGGAGAGGAGCGCTGCATTGCCTGCAAACTGTGTGAAGCCATTTGTCCTGCCCAGGTACACACACACGTTCTCGTAAACATACCTTTTGGGGACTTTGCATTGACCTCCATACATTCTGTAGCCTGACCCTGACCTTTACCCTGACCCAACCCTAACCCTAACTCATCTGCAACTCACACCTTAGTCCTAAACCTAACCCCCCAACGAGACCTCCTTATGGGGACCAAAGCCAGGTCCCCATAAGTAGACGTTGGTTCCCACAGTGCATGATTTTTTTGTAAAGTTGGTCCCTACACGGTAACCTGGAACACACACGGCTCATATTTGTTTGATCAGTGTGCCGAGCGTTAACTCGGGCGTTGTGTTGGTGTTGTTGGTGACAGCACAGCTGTTTGTTGTTTGTGTTCAGGCCATCACCATTGAGGCAGAGACCAGAGCTGATGGCAGCAGGAGGACCACTCGCTACGACATTGACATGACTAAATGCATCTACTGCGGTTTCTGTCAGGAGGCCTGTCCCGTGGACGCAATTGTAGAGGTGTGCACATGAACAACAACACAACTCCTTCACAGAAGCAGCTGCATCGATGGTTTTTCATATTAATCCTAAATTCTAGTTTTCATGAGCTACATGTCGTCAGTCTGAATGAGCAGTGAACATGGTGAGTAATGGCAACTTGTCTTTCCACAAACTTTACTACATGTTTCAAAACAACTGGTGAGTTTGCAGAAAAGAATAGTATGTATTAGTATTTATAAGCTTTGTTGAAATATTGTGAATAAACTGCACCAAGTCTGAGGACTTGAGAGAAGACACGTCCTTTACCACGGCAGAAGTCACATCCCAAAGTGATGTGATGGCAGAGTGCCAGGTCTGGACAGGATTCATCCTGAGATGTTGAGATGTTTCTCCTACCATCATCCAAGGAGGGCGCCCTGCCTCCCCAAATGTCCTGCACCCACAGCGCCCCCCGTCAACAGCGGCCAGCACTGACGTAACGCTAAGCTATCGGCGTGCATACAGATGCACTAGCTTAAAAAGCTACAGACGTTGCGCTCCACTTCTCTCACGCCCCCCCACCCCCGTCAACAAAAATCTGTGAATGTATGAGCGTCCTGCCACGACAACTGGGCTGTCATGGCGATGCGTCTCTAATGTGGTCTGGAGGACTGGGGCGACGCCTGCAGAGTGGCAGGCCATGCTGGTACTTTGTTTTTCTAAAGGAGGTCCATGGAGTGGGAAAAGTGAAGCACCCACATCGTCAGACCCTCATATGCCCCATGGTGGACCCTCCACTACCACTATGACCGTGTTCCCTGAGGCATTGTGGACGGGGTGCCAGGACTTCTTTGAACAGCCACCATCTCTCTGTAAACCCAAAGCAGGAGCACAAAGTCGAGCTCGTTCTCTGTGCAGGCTGTCCCTGGTCTTCAGTCCTTTTGATGGTTTTCATGGACAGAATCTGAAGGTGCAGCGGTAGAGAGAGAGATGTCTGAGCATAGTGTGGTTCTTCTGGTGTCTTCGGGTCACGACCTTCAGCCAAGTGTGAAGGGGCCATCATGAGAGTCAGCTCCTCCAAGTGTGAGGTCTTCTTATCAGGAAACGAGTGGACTACCCCTCCAGGTCAGAAGAGACCCCCAACCTGTGGAGGGAATCTACATATTCTTTGACCTGGGAGCACACTGGGATGCTCCAGGAGGAGCTGGAGAGAGCTGCTCTGGAGATGGATGTGAAGATGTCTCTCCTGGAGCTGTAGAATGTTGCAACATTTACCAGTATATGATCACTAACAGTTACTGGACGTACTGTGTTTTCAATTAAACTCAGCACAGTTTTAACGAGAAGGCTGTGCGTGGAAGGACGAACACAACTGTTTAACTTGAGACGGTCTGAGTCTTAAAGTCTTGCTCTGTATTTACTTGTCATATTTGTCAGAATCCACTTTCACACAAGTCCGTTGTAGCCCAGGACTTCAAGGTGTTTCCTGCACGTTTGGCCGGCGCAGGCTCTTCTGTGCAGTCCGGTCCAGAGATCCAGCAATGTGTGCTCATGTTTCCACAGCCCCAACAAGAAGCTGAGCCAAGGCTGCTGTGATTGGCAGCTGTTCCTTCAGCGAGTAGCATCTTCTCCTTGGTCCATGCAGTCATTTTGCTGAACACTAGATGGCAGCAGTTACACGTGTATTATTTAGTTACGGGTGGAGGCGCCTCAGTGAGTGTAGTCTGCTGCTTTCTTTTGTTCTCATTTCAAATAGTTGCTGGAGTGTTGGTGCTCTGCTGGAGCCTCGTTTCTCCACCGCGGTGAAGTTAGTTTTACGTTGGACGTTGGAGCTCCGTGTCTTCAGCGGTGTGTTGCTCTCGTTCCATCTGAAGCCGGCAGTCTGAGTTCAGTCTGCACCTCCTCTGAGACGTAACGGTTCACTTAGGGACCGTCAACAAATTACTGAAGCAAACACTCTTCAGAAACAAAAGTTAACATCTTTCACATCATTCGAGTCACTGACACAAAACTAATGTTCAACTGCTCTAACAGACCTCACGCACAACACTCCAACATCTATTTCTCATTTTAAAGCATTTT